CCCCCTATGCCGGGCACCTTGCCTCCGGGCATATGATCGGCCCGGCTGGCGCGGCCGCGCCCGTGCGTTCCCTCCTCCTCCCTCCCCCCCCCCCCCTCCTCCTCCCTTGCCATGTGGCCATCCTCGCGCACATGCCCATGCCGGCACCGCAGCAAACACGGCCCCGCCCCCACTCACATGCCCGCACACCCGCCCGCTTGCCCACGCCCCGGCGATGTGCACACAGAGCGCCCCGGTGGCCCACGATGAGGGCCTCCCCGCGTTGTTCGAGCTGGAGTCCATCAGCATCGCCGGGCACGATGTGCAGCCGGTCCGCATTGCCACCGCCAACAGCATCATCGTCACCGCCACCACCAAGAACATCCTTCTCGTGCTGGACCTCAACAACCCGGACAACATTGTTCGTGCGTGCCGCGCCCCGCCTGGTCGCCCTCCCCCCGCCGGCGCACACCCACACATCCCCGCATTCCCGCCCCACTTGCACACACTTACACCCATCATCACTCCCATGCGCATACACACACGCACATGCAGAACACGACCTCCCCCAGCCGGCCAGCCAGCTGGTGGCCCTCTTCCTGGACCCGCAGGCCCAGCACCTGCTCATGTCCTTCCAGAATGCCAAGACCTTCTACCTGGCCATGGGCCAGAAGAAGGCCCGCCTGCTGGAGCGCCTCAATGGCCACATCATCACCGCGGTCGGGTGGAACCCCCGGCGCGATGCGCCCGGCGGCGGGGCCGGCGGCGCCGATGGCGACATCCTCCTCGGCACGGCCGAGGGCCTGCTCCTGGAGCTGGACATGCATGCCCCCTCGGAGGAGTCCATCCTCCGCCGGCGCTCGGTCAAGGCCATCTTCACCTGCCCCAAGGAGGACGTCAAGACCCCGGTGGTGGGGATCTTCTCGGAAATCCGCGGCAAGTACCTGCGCGTGATCGTGCTCACCACACACCACTTCCTGCAGTTCTCCGGCGCCCTGGCGGCCGAGCCGCGCACGGCCGGCGATGGTGCCGGGGCCTCCGGCGGCAGCGGGGCCGGCGCCGGCGGGGCCGGCGGGTCCGACCGTCTGGGCACCTCGCTGCCCGGGTCGACCCTCCTGCAAGATGGCGCCAGCCAGCTGGTGGGCAGTGTGGCCGCCGGCATGGCCTCGGCCACCGGGGCCGGCGGCGCCTCCGCCGGTCTCTTTAGCACCTTCTTCGCCGGGTACACCGGCAACTACCTGGACACGGCCCTCGTGTCGCCGCCCAATGTCCCCTACCAGCTGAACAACCACGGTGTGGCCTTTTCCACGGTGGCCGCCACCTCTGACGGCCGCCAGGCCGAGTCCTTTGCCTGCCTGCTCGGCGCCAGCCTCTACCATGGTAGCCTGACGTCCACCGTCGGCGAGGGCATGCCCGTGGTCGGCACGGCCAAGTTCATGCCGCACCCGAAGCTGGCCGACGAGCCGGCCGACGCCGTTGTCCCCAACTCCATCGTCCTCACCCGGCATCACATCCTGCTGCTGATGGGCGACCAGCTGGTGGCCTTTTCGCGCATCAGCTTCAAGGTTGTCTTCAAGCATGTACGTCCCCCGACCCGTCAGCCAGCAGGCTTCTGCCGCCGCCGCCGCCGCCGCCCCTCTTTGGCGTCGCCTTGCTTCCGGCGGGGGGCCCTCGCTCTCACACGCCCCTGCCCTTTGTTCCCTGTGCCCCTTCCCCCCCCCCCCCCCCCCCCCCCCCCCTCTCTCTCTCTCTCTCTCTCCGCCCATTGGGCCTCCTGCTCACCCCGCCCGCATCTTTCCACCCCCCCCCCCACACCCCCCGGCTCCGTCCCTTCTTCCGGAAACACCCCGGCAGCGCTTCCGCGAGACGCCCATCCACATGACGGCCGATGCCTCCAGCGACACCATCTGGCTGGCCACCAATAGCACCATCTACGAGGTGGTCACCGAAAATGAGGACAAGAACCTGTGGGAGGACTACCTCTTCGACGAGCAGCTGGCCAAGGCCCTGCACCATTGCCACACGCCGAAGCAGTTCCAGCGGGTCTTCCGGTCCATCGGCTCCGCCGCCTGGGCGGACAACAGCTATGCCATCGCCGCCGCCGCATGGGCCCGGATTACCGGCAACAATTACAGCTTCGAGGACATCACCCTGCGCTTCTTGAATTTGGTGCGTCCCTCGGCCGACATCCCGGGCGGCCGGTGTCCCGCTGTGCGGCTGCCACTGACAAGTCCCCCGGTGTCCTGATCCCCCCCCCCCTCCTTTCTCTCTCTGGCCCCTTCGGTGGATGGCATGCATATGCACACAACCACATACATATACACACATGTGCACATGCAAATATGCATGCACGCATGTACGCACGCACGCACGCACGCACGCACGCACGGACAGGCCTCGCGCCCCTCGCCCGAGCAATCCTCCGCCGGGCGCTTCGCCCTGCTGGTGTATCTCCTGTCGCGGTACCAATTCTACGAGAAGACCGACGTCACGCAGCTCAACCTCCTGGCCACCTGGATCACGGAGATGTTCCTCAGTGAAATGTCCCGCGAGGCCGTCCTCCAGGCGGCTGCCCAACAGGTGACCGGCTCCGGGGCCGCCACCGCCGAGGGCGCCGCATCGACCAGCAGCACCGGCCGTGAGGCGGCTCTGCGGGCCCAATTTGCGCGGTTCCTGAAAACCGGTGTGGCCGCCGTCCCGGCCCCCTCCGGGCTCCTGCACCAGGACTCCAACCAGGAGGACCATTACGCCGACCTGAACTTCCTGCTCCCCGGGCACCACTCACCGTCGGCCTCCTCCCCGAACCTCAAGCAGCCCAGCCAGAACCCCGGCAAGGACCACCTGGATCGTGCCACGGCCTATCGGCTGATGGCCTCCTATGGTCGGACGCGCGAGATGCTGGACTACGCCACCATGGTCGGGGACTTCGAGCGAGTCATCAGCCACCACCTGCAGGTGGGCAACTACGCCGACGCCCTGGCCATCGTCATGAAATACGTACGTCAGCGTGTGCCCCTCTTTTTCTTTTTTTTTTGCATTCCCCTCCGGCCGAGCCACCCTTGCCTGGGGGATGTGCCCTCCTGCCTGTCCTGTTGACGCCGCCCTCTCCCTCCCCCGCGTCCATGCGCACACACACACACACACACACCAACACACCAACACCAACACACCAACACACCAACACACACACACACTAACACACTAACACCGACACAGCCCTCGGATGATATCTTCTACAAGTTCGCCCCCACGCTCATGGAGCACCTCCCCCGGGAGTTCATCGAGTTCCTCGAGCGCATTCGCGACCTGGACCCCAAGAGCCTCCTGCCGGCCCTGATGAAGTACACCGCCCGGCGGACGGCCGAGATCCAGGCCAATCCCCAGCTGGCCAAAACCCTGCCCAACTACGCCATCAACTTCCTGTACTTCTGCATCGAGCACCGGAAGAACCGCGACGCGGCCGTGCACAACTACCTGCTGTCGCTGCTGGCCCAGCAGCCGGACGAAACCCAGCTCCTGGACTTCATTCGCGCCCACATCAACCTGGACCCGGCCTTCAACCTGCAGTATGCCCTGCGCATTTGCACGCAACATGGCCACGCCCGGTCGGCGGTGCACATCTATGCCGCCATGGGCCTCTACGAGGAGGCGGTCTTCACCGCCCTCACCAAGGCCAAGGACATCGAGCTGGCCCAGTCCTTCCCGGAGAACCTCAAGGATGGGGACCTGGTGCTGGACAGTGCCACGCGCCTGGGCGGCAACAGTGGCCGGGATCCGGGCTCCGCGCGCGGGTCCTCCTCGGCCGTCGTGGCCGCCGCCATCCCCGAGGATCTGGAAGGCCTGCGCAAGAAGCTCTGGCTGCAAATCGCCAAGCATGTGGTCGAGGAAAACAACGACATCGAGAAGTGCGTCCACGGTCTCCCCCTCCTCCTGACCGGGACATTCCCGGCCGTGGCCGGGGGGGGGGG